TTATCAGCACCCAGCTTGCTTACCTTTTTTGATGTTCATTTTTCTCATATATAAAGTGAGAATAATATCTCAACTTATGAGTAAGCATGCACATGTGAATGGTGCCTCATAGTAACAAAACAGGAGATGGGCACATTTTATCTGGGACTTAGAATATCCCAGTGGGAGAAGAAAACTCAAATACTACTACATCTCTTCTGTGTTCTTCTCCCTCCTCATAATAGTGATAGCTACAGTTCTGGTGACTACAGTTCCAAGGAGAACAAGAGCAGCAGTAATTCCTGGGAAGGGAAGGAAAGGTGAGGGACCCTGACCCTGCTGAGGATCTCTAGATGATGCCTGTATTTCCTGACCACACACAAGCTTTGTGCCCAAACCCCTAACTTTCCCCATCTCAGGCTGAGGGGCTCAGGCAGCCCCTCATGTTGAACATGGCATGTATATCTGCTTTTCCCAAGAAGGTGGTACCACAGCTGCTCCCTGTAGGCCTGGTCTCCATAAACTTCATGCCCTGGGGCCTGGTCCTCTCCATCCCATTGCCAAGTCAGGGTGATCTCAGGGTAGAAATCCAGGACTCAATAACTCAGGGTGCCTTCTCCCCTTCAGGACTTGAGTGGAAGGTCACATGTGTCTGAGGGAGTTCTGAGAAGAGTCAGAAAATTCCTATGGGCCACTTGAGAATAGATCATCTGACCATGCTGAGAATAAACAAAATAATTGCATTTCGGATTAAGAGTGTAGAACTTTCTTAATGAGAAGGGAAATTGTATGGCATTGTTATATGAGTTGTGATAAGTATATAATAAAATAAGATGATAATAGAGTCTGATATACAAAAATATACAAAAATTTTTGCACTGGGTGCCAGTGGCTCATGCCTATAATCCTGGTTACTCAGGAGGCTGAGATCTGAGGATTGGGGTTTAAAGCCAGCTCAGCCAAGAAAGTCAGTAAGACGCTGATCTCAGGTTAATTACAGAAAAAGCTGGAAGTAGTGCGATGGCTCAATTGGTAGAGTGCCTTGAGCAAAGCCTTGAACAAAATGAGCTCAGGGACAGTACCTAGGCCCCAGAGTTCAAGCCCCAGGACTGGCAAAAAAGTTATTTTTATTTATTATTTATTGCCAATTGTGGGACTTGTAATTTCTTTTTTGCTGGTCATGGGGCTTGAACTCTGAGCCTAGGTGCTGTCCCTGAGCTCTTCATGAGCATGCTACCACTTGAGCCACAGTGCCCCTTCCGGTTTTCTGGTGGTTAATTGGAGATGAGTCTCATGGACTTTCCTCCCTGGGCTGGCTTTGAACCTTGATCCTCAGATCTCAGCCTCTTGAGAAGCTAGGATTACAGGTGTGAGCCACTCTTGCCCTGCTAAAAAGGTAACTTGTAAATTAAAAAAAAAAAAAAAATAGCCCTCAGGGATTGGAGATGTAGCTCAGTAGTAGAGCACTTGCACTTGCTTAGCGTGTATAGTGCTGTGGATTCAATCCCCAGCTACACACACCACAGAATCTTCAGAAAAGAAATGGATGGAAATAATTTTTTTTTCCAGTTTTCCAGAGTTATCAACAGGCTGGAGAAAGAGGTTGTTGGGAGAATAGATGGAATCTTCAAACTGAGAAGTACTCTTGGGACCTCTCCTGTCTTCTGCTTTTTGTGCAGTCCAGGGTTCTCAGAAGCATCTTCATCTCTGCATGGGTTCCTAGTCTCCATGTTGGTCATCTCTGCCCAGTTCAGATCACACAAAGCAGCTAAGTCCCCTCCCTGCATGCAGGGCCAATCCAAGAGGGCAGAGCAGCAGTGCCCTCCTGTGGCCACAGGGTTGAGGACAGGTGAAATTCCTTTTCACCTCAAATCTTTGCCTTTGCAAGGTCATGCCTGGCTTCCAGCAACTGGCTTAGACCTCATACTCAAAGTCCTGTTTGCAGTCTTGTTTACCAAATCCACATGGCATAATTTTCCTCTCCATTGAGGGATGGTGGACTCTGCCTCAAGGTAGAAAGAGATAGAAGTGGTAGAGCACTAGCCTTGAGCTGAAGAGCTGAGGGACAGCGCCCAAGCCCAGAGTTCAAGACTCATGACCGACAAAAAAAAAAAAAATTCTTTGCATTTTCAAGTTGCTAGAAGAACCTGAGAAGATTAGAGGGGCAGCTGTGAAGTCGCAGCACTAGTAGGTGTTGCCTGCTGCAGGGCTGTGTCGTAGAACTCGGAGGACTGTTAGACAAATCAACTCTAACCTGTACAGCATGCGCACACATACACATACCTGCATCAATAGCAGCAGGAAAACAAAAAAACCAATAGTATGAAAAAGCAAAGATTTGGAAGTGGCACTGTAGCTCAAGTGGTAGAGCGCTCGCCTTGAGCTGAAGAGCTGAGGGACAGTGCTCAGGCCCAGAGTTCAGGCCCCACGACCGACAAAAAAATAAGAAGAAGAAAAAAAGCAAAGAGTGGGCTGGGAAGGTGGCTCAGTGGTAGAGCGCTTGCCTTGCATGCATGAGGCCCTGGGTTCGATTCCTCAGCACCACATAAGCAAAAAGAAAAAAAAAACGGAAGCTGTGGCTCAAGTGGTAGAGCACTAGCCTTGAGCTGAAGAGCTGAGGGACAGCGCCCAGGTCCAGAGTTCAGGCCCCACAACAGGACCCCCTCTCCCCCCCCCCCCCCCAAAAAAGAAAAGAGTGAAAAGAGGCAATTCTCTGAAAGAGATATACATAGTACAAATCATCAAGATCAGTGACTCAAGCAACTTGCTTCTTGTTATCCCAGAGCAGGTTTTCCCACAATAAAGAACTGTAATACCCTCAACCTGACTCACACCAGTTGGGGACAAGTGTGAGTACAGCACTGAGCAGAGAGTTGTCTGAGGTGGCATAGGGGTTAGTCAACACACATCTCACCAAATCCTAGCCCCGTCTCCACAGAGAGTTGGTTGGGTGGCTCCAGGCTTTTGTGCAGAAATGTGCATATTGAGTCTACATACAACACTATGTAGAAGCTTACTGTGTCTTCCTCTAGTTTTCCCATGGGGTCTGAGACTTTGTTGATTTATCTTCAGTATTCATTTCTGTGTGTGTGTGTGTGTGTGTGTGTGTGTGTGTGTGTGTGTGTGTGTGTGTGTGTCTGTGTCTGTGTCTGTGTGTACTGGGGCTTGAACTAAGGGCCTGGTTACTGTCCTTTTTTTGCTTAAGGCTAGTACTCTACCACTCCATACACAGCTTTTTGGTGGTTAATTAGATCTAATGAGTCTCACAGATTTTCTTTCTAGGGCTGGCTTTCAATTTGATCCTTCTGAGTAGCTAGGGATTTATAAGTGTAAGTCACTGGTGCTCAGCTCATCATTGAGATTTTATCTTGCTCCAGTCAGGGTGGTGATCATTAAGGAAAACAAATAACAAATGGTGAGAATAGGAGGTTGACAGGGGACCCTGATACACAGGACCCGTATACTCTGTTGGTAGGAATATAAATTACTGCATCCCCACCTCACCCAAATAAAAGAGTGCCAGGCTAGGATAGGCAGTGCTATCAGTAAAGTACGGCGTAGAGCCTAGCTGTCTGTTTTTGTAAATAAAGTGATTTAGAACCAAGGTAAGATTTGGGTGAGGCAAGGTCAGGCAGGTCAGCTGGGTGCTGGTGGCTCACACTTGTATGTAATCCTAGCACTCAGAAGGCTGAAATCTAACGATCAAAGTTTGAAGCCAGCTCGGGCAGGAAAGTCCTTGAGATGCTCATCTCCAACTAACCACCAGAAAACTAGAAGTGGGCTGTGGCTCAAGGTGGTAGAGTGCTAGTTTTGAGCACAAAAGCTCAGGGACTAGTGCCCCAGGCCCTGAGTTCAAGTTCTACAATTGAAAAAAAAATAAAGTCAAATCCCATCTTTACTGAAAGACTGGTTTAGTTTCTTCATATATAATGGAACAAATGCCCTCATCTATAACCATGTTTCGTGGGGGTATGAAGATAGTGGAAATCGCATCACTTTTCAACCAATGTCTGTGCCTCCTACCACCTTTCCCACCAAGTTTATTTACTGTAGAGGCTTTGGTTTCAAGTTCTGGTGCTGTGAGATCTGATGTCTGGCCAACGCTCAACAGCTTGAGACCTGTTTCCTCACTTGAAAAAAACCCTGAGGCTTGAACTCAGGGCTTGGAAATTGTCCCTGAGCAAAACTTTGCTCAAGGTTGGTGCTCTACCATTTGTGTCAGAGATCCACTTCTGGCTTGTTTGGTGGTTATTGGAGATAATGGTCTCATGGTCTTTCCTGAACTGGCTGGCTTTGAACCTCCATCCCCAGATCTCAGCCTCCTGAGCAGGATTACAGGTGCGAGCCATTGATGCCCAGTTTACCATATTAAGTGCTAGTTAAGTGAAAAAATTTAAGTGTTGTGATTTTAGTTGAGCTTATCAAGAGGGGGGAAAATCACTGCGAGAGTTGAGTTGGATTCTATAACTTGGCGAAACGACGCTGGTGAGGTACTCGCTGTTTCCCTGCCTCTTCTATCTCTGTTTTCTCCCCCTTGACTAGACTTTTCTAAGATATGTGCCTCTTAACCCCTCTGTAAAGTTCTCTTTCGGGCTCACCAGCTGAGTTCCAAAAGCTTTAGTGACTGTTTTCTAAGCGAGTGTCACTTTTTACAAGAGTAATAAATTAGATCTGGGACTATGGGGGCATCTTAGCGCTAGGGGAGGACCAATGTTACATCAACTGGCAGGGGTGGAGAGATGGAGGGGCGTGGCAGTGCCCCCTAAGCGTTCGGCTTCTTAGGGTGCCCACTCTGGACCTAGTGGGGACCACCGCCCGAAGTGGGTCAGTTGGCGGGGTGGGTGGGAGGGTGGGAGGGAGCGGAAGCAGGCGGAGCTGGGGCGGTTCGCGCGCTCCGGGTTGAGCTGGGCGGAAGCTGCGGTCCCCAGGCCGAGCCCTGGGAGTCTGCGTACTCGGCGCCCAGAGGGTGAGTAACCCCGGCAGGAGTCGCGCCGACCTTCTAATGGCTGGTGCGGGGTTGGTACCCCTGGCACCGCCCGGCCGTGGAGGGGAGACTGCGCCTTACCCCCGGGCAGCCTCCAGCCCTGAGGCTCCCTGGAGGAAGCCTGAGTTCGGCCCGGGAAGAAAGGGCTCCGAGCACGTGTCGGGAGTCGGGGTCCCAGAAAGGAAGTCTCGGGACAGATGGGCACCGGGCGATTTTGATTATGTTGTATGTGTGCCAGCAGTGAGGCTTTGGCTCGCCTTTTTCTCTAAGGGGCTGGCGCGCTACCACTGGGGCTGCACCCCCACTTCCGGCCTTTTGCCGACGGCTAATAGGAGGCTAGAGCCTCTGGGACTTTTCTTCCCGGGCCGGCTTCGAATCCCGACGAGGGTAGCTAGGCGTGAGCCACCGGCGCCCAGCTGAATGGGAGTGTTTTGGAGTACGTTGGCGGGCGCGGGGAGCGTTAACGCGCGCCTGCTGTGCGGGCCCCGGCGACCCAAATAGCCCTTTGCGCCTGCCCGGAGGAAGCCGCGATCTGCGGGCCAGGCGGGGGACCCTGAAGGTTCGAGCGGAGAGCTCACGCGCACAGCCTCCCCGGCTGCTCGGGAGGACGAGTCTAGGAGAGCCATTTTGCGTATCCGAGGAGCGAAGAACTCAGATGGCTGCATGGACAAAGCTCTCAAAGGCTTGTGTATGTATGTTGGAATTTCTGTCCTCCGATTTTTTTTTTTTTTTTGTGGGAAAGAAACCAGGAGAAGAAAGGGAGCAGGACTAAGAGGATTGAAAGATGGCGACACATTCCCTCGGCAGGTTTGCATTGTGAGAGGGTGGGGGCCAGGCCCGGGCAGATAAAAGCCCACTGTGAATATCCAGACTTCCACTTCAGAGCCCTGTTCAGCCCTGGGGTCATTTATGCCAAGCAAATACCATCAAAGGTAATGGAGAGTCGGAGATGGCTGCCGCTGTCAGAGCTCCCACAGAAGTTAGAATCAGCACCATTCTGACACTCATTCTCAGTAAGAGCCACGCAGGATGCAGTGGCTATCGCGGGTCTCCTCTGCTGTAGAAGCGGAAGACCAGGATCTTAAGGACACTAATTGAAGCTGGAAAGTGGGAGAATAATCCTAGATCTATTCTTTCATGGTCGTAAATAGGGAGGGAAGGAGAAGAGAAAACCAATTTCCTGTTTTAGGGAGGCAAAATGAATTGGGAATCCAATTTACTGTTCATCAGATACCTTTTTCCTTGCTGATATTTTGAGTACCGTTACTCTTCTCGAAGAAGTGGGCAAGTTTTTATGTTTTTCTTTGCACCTGGAATTGGCTATCAGCAGGAAGAGGCAGGCTTCAGCCATGTTTGTGTGGGAGCAGAAACTTTTTTCAAGGTGAACAGGAAATTACAGTGAATCTGAATCACTAGGAGTTTTGAATAAGTTGAGTTCTGTTGGATTGTATTCTTTACAAGGACTAGATGTGCAGAAGATCCCTGATTTATGATGGTTCAATTTATGATACTTCAAACTTTACAGTGGTAGAAAACCTTATGCATTCAAGTTGAAATACTTTGAATTTTGATTTTGCTCCCAGTTTAGCAATGTGTAGTAAATAGAATTTTCTTGATATTTGCCTGCTGTGTCAAGGCTACCAGCTGCAGCTCCTAAGTCAACCATGGGGTTGGGAGGGGAAAGCTATCATATTCTTAATCAGATGCATTGTGATGGACTTCTTCCTTTATGATGTTTTAAGTTATGGTGAGCTCATGAGGATGTTGTCCCATTGTAAATTTAGGAGTACTGAGTATTTAAAAATCCAGTTACTGGTAGCTCACATCTGTATTCCTAGCTACTCAGGAAGCTGAGATCCAAAGATCACACTTTGAAGCCAGGCAAGAAAGTCTGTGAGACTCTTTATCTCCAATTAACTACTAAAAGCTGAAAGTCTGTGAGACTCTTTATCTCCAATTAACTACTAAAAGCTGAAAGTAGAACTGTGGCTTAAGTAATAGAGCACTAGCTAATCTTGAGGAAGAAAAAAAAAAAAGCTCAGGGACAGCACCCAGGCCCTAAATTCAATTTCCAAGATTAGTGTGCACATGTACACACACACACACACACACACACACACACACACACACACACACAGTATCCAGGTCATAGGTATATAGTATATACTAGAGTCAGGCCCTGGGCTTGATCTGTGCAAGTACTGTGTGTATTCATCCTGAGAGGAATCTTAGAGAATGTGTTTATTAACATTTTCCATGAAAGCATATCGAGGATGAGATTTGCTCAAGGTGGCTTGTGGAGATGCAGGCCAGATTCCCTAACTGCTTTTCAATGGATCGCACCTGGATCTAAGGTGCGATCAATACTTCTCGTGTAGATCCAGAGTATCCTTGACTTTAAATGGCCTCAGAAGTTGTTATTCAGGGTAACTGATTTATAAGGTAACTTTCTCCTTGCTGATGTGTTGTCTCTCCCTGACCTCAGTTTCCTAGAGGTGGGCCACCAGCCAGTAGCTAAAAGCAGGCTGGGACAGGCAGACACCTAGCCCCAGCCTGGCATTACTGGACAGTAGTAGCTTAGCCCAGGAGAACCAGGTTCCTGAGCTTTACAGTTCAGACTTTGAGGGAACTAAAGATATTCTTACTTGTGAAAGCAAATTTGGACAGTAAAACAAACAAGGAAGAATTTCCCTTGAAGCGGACATACTTGTCACAGGAACCTATATTAATCCCCAGGTCCTAGCAGAACCTCTCCATCTGTCTGCTTATCATTAAATAGACATTCCTGGGAGCCAAACCAGAAGTAAATAAAGCCAGAGACACGATAGGAAAAAAGGTGCTGCTCCCTTGGTTTGGCAGGGTGTCAGCAGCCCTGCTGGAAGCCAAGAAGAAAGACTGCTGGTGGAAGATGTAGATAAAGGAAAGGAGAATAAGAAAGAGAAGCACTGGGTCCTAGACTCCTGAAACTCTCATCTGTTCCCTGGCTCTTCCCTGACTCCCTAGGGTCTCAGAATGTTTCAAGCCTAGCAACAGAAAAAGGAGCACTAAGACTTTCTTCCCTACTATTTTCATTGACTATTTTCTGAAATTTTTGTTAGAGTAGCAACCATATTTCCCTCCCCCGCTTTTTTCTGTGCTGGTCTTGGGACTTGAACATTGGCCCTGACACTAGCCCTGAGCTTTTTTTGCTCAAAGCTAGCACTCTACCACTTGAGCCACAGTTCCTCTTCCAGCTTTTTCTTTTTCTTTTTAGTTTAATGGAGCTAAGAGTCACAGAGACGGGCACTGGTGGCTCATGTCTGTAATTCTAGTTACTCAGGAGGCTGAGATCCGAGGATCACAGTTCGAAGCCAACCTGGGCAAAAAAGTCAATGTGAGACTCTTACCTTCAATTAACCACTTAAAAACTGGGAGTAGCACTGTGGCTCAAGTGGTAGAGTACTAGCTTTGATCACAAAGAGGCTCAAGGACAGCGCTCAGGCCCTTGGTTCAAGCCCCACAACTGACTCCTCCACCCCCTCCCAAAAACATCTCACAGACTTTCCTGCCCAAGCTGGCTTCAAACTGTGATCCATAGATCTCAGCCACTTGTTGATAGGCTATACTGGCATGAGCTACTGGTGCCCGGCTATTCTTTCCTTTCTATTTATAGTCAATGTTTCACTTTTTTCTGCCACATTTTCTTTCTTTGTCTTCATTCTTCCTTTCCTTTCTATAAGTCACAATTACTGATTTTGTGCCTGTCTCCATGTTTCTCTCTTCATTCCATGGTTTTATATTTCTCTTAGGTTTCAATTTTCTGAACCTTGAAACTACGTTTACAAACTCTCCTAGTCTGTCCTGCTCTTCCAAATGCAAGTGTCCTTGGAGGATGTGGCTGTGAATTTCACCCAGGAAGAGTGGGAATGTTTGGATACAGGTCAGAGGACCCTTTACGTGGATGTTATGACTGAAATCTTGAAGAACCTGGAGTCTGTGGGTAAGAGGCTGTGGTCCTTCAGGCAACCCCATTGAGCTAGGGCTACAGAAAATCTGGTTTTCCTAGGCAGGTAGAGAAGCTTACTGTTAGCCTCTCTGACACTAGAGATGTGGTCGCTAAACTTAGATAGTAAAGGAAAAGAAATTAAACCTAGAATGAAACCAAGCTCTGGTGGCACATACCTATAATCCTAGTACTCAGGAGACAGATCTGAGGATGGCAGTTCAAAGCTAGATAAGGCAGGAAAAAGTCTGTGAGATTCTTATCTCCAATTAACTACTCAAAAAGCTGAAAGTGGAAGTGTGGCTCAAGTGGTAGAACACTAGCCTTGAGCAAAATAATTCAGGGACAGCCCCCAGACCCTGAGTTCAATTCCAGGACTAAAAAGAAAAGAAGAAAAGAAAGGAAGAAAGCTGACATGAAAACAAAGATAGTATTAATAACAATGAAAACCTTAAAATATACAACTAAGTCACTCTTGTGTGCCAGGCACTTTGCTAGGAGCTAGCCTTTTGAAAGTCATTTCCCTGCATGTAAGTAATCTAGATTAAGATTCTTGTTTTGGTTTTTTTTTTTTTAATTTTGGGTCCGGTCGTGGGCCTGAACTCTGAGCCTGGGTGCTGCCCCTCAGCCCTTCAGCTCAAGGCTAGCGCTCTACCACTTGAGCCACATCACCACTTCCGGCTTGTTTTTTGCTTATGGGTGCTGAGGAATCGAACCCAGGGCCTCAAGCATGCAAGGCAAGCGCTTTACCACTGAGCCACCTTCCCAGCCCTAGATTAAGATTCTTAAAATGGGTACACAGGAGATAGCAGATGTGAAAGGGCCATGTCTGGAACCAATACAACTTATTCCTTCTCATCAGTCAGGATATTTTTCTTCCTTAATCAGCTGTGATTGCCGAGTTTGAGCAGGAGAGGCAGGTGAGAGAAGATCTCTGTCTCCTAAACAACATGAGTCTCCCTTCAGGTAAGAATTGCAAAGGAACGGATGATAAAAGGTCCAGGACAATTCCTGAAAGGATGGAGAACAAACTGAGAGGATCAAGCCCCAGTATATTCTTTCCTAGCACATACCTTTCCAGTCTAGTCAGACTTGGAAAAGACCATGAAATCAAAGGCTCAAGTCCCTTAACTTCATGATGAATATCTAAATCTTTCAAAATAAGTGAACATCATTTAGTTTGTTGTAAATGAGAGATCTTATATGGGTTGTTACATTAGCGATATTCCTTTGATTAAAAAGTTCTTTCAAGGGCTGGGAAGGTGGCTCAGTGGTAGAGCGCTTGCCTTGCAAGCCTGAGGCCCTGGGTTTGATTCCTCAGCACCATATAAGCAAAAAGAAAAAAGCCAGATTGAGGCCCTGGGTTTGATTCCTCAGCACCATATAAGCAAAAAGAAAAAAGCCAGAAGTGGCGCTGTGGCTCAAGTGGTAGAGTGCTAGTCTTGAGCTGAAGCTGAGGGACAGCGCCCAGGCCCAGAGTTCAGGCCCCACAACTGGACCCAAAAACAAAACAAAACAAAAAGTTCTTTCAAGGGCTGGGAAAGTGGTAGAGCGCTTGCCTTGCATGCATGAGGCCCTGGGTTCAATTCCTCAGCACCACATAAGCAAAAAGAAAAAAACCGAAAGTGGTGCTGTGGCTCAAGTGGTAAAGTGCTAGCCTTGAGCTGAAGAGCTGAGGGACAGTGCCCAGGCCCAAAGTTCAGGCCCCACTACCGGACCCCCCCCCCAAAAAAAAAATTCTTTCAAGAGGGGAGAACAAACTGATCCACAGATCTCAGCCATTTGTTGATAGGCTTGCAGCATGAGCAACTGGTGCCTGCCATTCTTCCCTTTCTATTTATAGTCAATGTTTGACATTTGAGAAGAAATGTACTCACTACCTTACTGTAACTGTAACCCCTCTGTACATCATATTGATAGTAAAATTAAGTTTAAAAAAATTCTTTCAAGAGAAAAGTGAAGCAGTGAGATGATAGGTTGGAAAAGGAGAGACATGTTTCTGGGACAGGAGTAAATGGGTTAGAGAGATGCCAAGACAGGTTAGCAGGGACACCCAAAACTACCAGCACTGATAGCTTTGAACTCTGATAATACTATACTTTTTCAAACAAATATAGAACTATGATAAAGCTTGATTTATTCATGAGGCATAGTAAGAGATTAAACCCTAATAAAATAGGATGGTTATTATCTGTACAAAAGAAGTTAAATAAATGTAGTATTTCTCAAAGAATTTTTTTTTAAGCGGGTGCCAGTGGCTTATGCCTGTAATCCTAGCTACTCAGGATGCTGAGATCTGAGGATTGTGGTTTGAAGCCAGCCTGGGCAAAAAAAGTCCCCCTGAGACTCTTATCTCCAATAAACCACTCACAAAAGCCAGAAGTGATGCTGTGGCTCTAGTAGTAGAGTGCTAGCCTTGAGCACAAAGAAGCTCAGGGACAGTGCACAGGCTCTGAGTTCAAGTCTCAGGACCTGGAAAAAAAATAATTTTTTTGTCATTTAATATTTTTGGACTGTGGTTGACTGCTTAACTCAAACACTGAGAGGTGAACTCATAGGTGGAGGATTATTGTATACTGTGGAATGTTTGTGGGAGTGAACAATACTAAAAACGAGAAGATGGATTTCAAAGAATATGGTTTAGATATCCGATATTATTGGAAGATTGTGGTTAAAACTTTATTTGCTTATAATTCTGGTCTATGAGTACTAGGGTAGGGTGAATATGTTGGATAGGAAAGGGGTGGCAGAAAGGACCAGCAGCTTGCACTAAAAGAAAGCTTGTGTTGTCATAGTGAATCCTGTGTTAATTTCTTCTTTCACCACAGGATTCAAGGAGGGACAGGAGAAAGAAGAGGAGGAGGAAGAGGAAGAAGAGGAAGAGGAAGAGGAGCATCAAGAACCAGGTCAGGATCTGAGCAATGAGGGAACTAATGATAAGACAATATCCCTTGCTTCCAAGAAAGAAGGCCATATCCCATTCTCTGCCCTAGATCGGATTAAAGAGAAGACCCGAGTGGGCAAAGCCTCCAGAGTTGGACCACCTTTTTTGTGTCACAGCTGTGGCAGCGGTTTCAGCAAGCGCTCCCAATTCTATAGCCATCAGTGTATTCACAGCCACAAGCGGGTTAACAGCTGTAACCAGTGTCGAAAGTTGTTGGGGAACCCCCAGGCCCTCAGCTACCATAGACGCCTGCATCATGCAGACAGGCCCTTCAGTTGCTCTCTCTGTGACAAGACCTACCGTGATGCTTCTGGTCTGAGCCGGCACCGCCGTGTTCATATGGGTTACCGGCCCCATTCGTGTCCTGTGTGCGGGAAGCGCTTCCGAGACCGGTCAGAGGTCAAACGCCATCAAAAGATACATCGAAACAAGGAGCCAGTGGCTGGAAACCAGAAGCCTGTTGTAAAGACTCCAGTTTCCACAGCTGGATTCCAGGCGCCTACAGTTAGGAGCCGACGGCGCATCCGGGGGCTTGTGGACGTGAACCAGACTCCTGTCACCAGAACCCGGGCATCCAGTGGTAGAGCCGTCTGCCTAGCTAGCAGATCCAACTCTCCTCCAGCGAAGCGCTCAGGAGGCAAGGTCTTCTCTTGCCCTCATTGTCCCTTGACTTTTAACATGGAAGCCGATCTCTCCAACCATCAGAAGGTCCACTTTCCAGAGCAGAAAACCTACTGCTGTCCTGTCTGTGACCTCTGCTTTGAGGTGAAGGAGGACCTTCTGGATCACTGGAACAGTTCTAAACTCAAGGACCTAGAACCTAGGCCACAAAACCTGGGTAGCCCTCCAAAATGCTGGGTGGTCCTGGGTTACTGGCTGGGCTTCCTTTCCAATCCCCCATGGTCAGGAAGGACTAAAAGCAAGCAGGGAATGGATCTTCTAGGATCTATGGCCCCAGAGGAGGGGAAGCCACGGAGAAAAAAAAAAGTGGAAAAAGGAAGGAAAGCAAAAGATAAGTGAAGGTCTTGATACATAAATAAAAGGCCAGCTGGGTGCAGGTGGCTCACACCTGTAACCCTAGCTACTCAGGAGGCTCAGATCTGAGGATCACGGTTCGAAGCCAGCCCGGGCAGAAAATTTCCCGTGAGACTCTTATCTCCAATTAAGCACTCAGTAACCAGAAGTGGAGCTGGCTCAAAGTGGCAGAGCGCTATCCTTGAGCAAAAGAGCTCAGGGACAGTGCTGAGGCCCTGAGTTCAAGCCCTACAACCAACAAAAATAAATTAAAACAATAAAAGGCCTTTCTGACTTAAGTCTACATTTGGTTTGCCTGAGGATTTGCCTCTGGGGTCTGGAGGCGTAGGTTGAGGAACAGAGGATAGAAAAATAATGAAGGAAATACAACACAGAGAAGGGGAAAGAAATGTGCACATAGAAACTTGTATTATTAATAATTAGCACCTAGCTTGTTTCTTTGTGTCTGATAAACCACTGAGTAGTAATAGTTGAATAAAACAGTAGATTCTATGGTAGAGGTGCAGGTGGGAGGAAAGGGATAAGAGAGACAGATATGGAAATAGAACAGAGACATGTATGGCCCACTTCTCATCCCTTGCTGCCAAAGTTCCTCCTCAGGCTGCTGAGACAAGGTAGGGTCTGGACAGTATTCTGTGGAATCCATCTGGGAAGCTATCCCCAGGTTTTAGTTAAGGCTTCACACATTCTCATCTGCAGCTCACTCAACATCAGATAACTTGACTGCTCCTTTGCTCTTTACCCCAATCACAGCTGGAATCTTGGAAGAAAGAGCCACTATTTGCAAACTTGATGGACTGTCATTTGTAGTAAGGAGGTTCTGGGACTCCAGATCATGGCACAGAGCCTCCCGTCTGTTGCTTTTTGTTCTTGCATAGGTGTCCTCTGATGGAAAAAGGTGACCCACCATAAAGCGCTTCCTGGTAGAAGAGGAGTGGAAAGATGTGACAAACAAAAACTGGGAGAGGAAGAAATAAAGTGGAAGACAGAAGAAGGGACATCAATTCTATTTGGAATTCAGAATGTTCATGGATGTGCAGATTGGAATGTGCCCACAGCAGAGTCCAGTGAATGGATGACATGTTCCCAAGGACCAGACTCTGGACCAACTAGACTCTTGCACCTCAGCCAAAAATGTGTCAGCACTCAGAAGGGGTTTCCTAGAAGAAGGAAAAGATAGCTTGTCAGTAGTTTACTATGAAACCACTGAACCTGAGCTCTCTGGGGTCATCTCATCTTATGCAGAGAATAGAAAGAAGGCTGGTGAGAGTCCTGCTAAGGAGTGCAATCAGGCAGCAGGTGGGAGTGGCCTGGCATCCCTCTCAGTCACCTATGAATTTGTCCAACAGTGGCCTCTTCCCATTATCCCTTAATAGAAGGGTCCTCCCTCCACTCTCAACCCTCTGCTTAGTCTTCCTTTCCCGACATTTTGTTCTTGGCTGATAAAAATGAGAAATTAACTTACTTAGCTCTTCAAGAAACTGTCCTGCAAAAAAAAAAAGGAAACAAGTAGTAAGGGAGATAACCAATGGAAGATGACTACCTCCCTCCCCGCCTCCCCGTGTTCACTCCGACTGACCCCGCCCTCTCCTTCTGGTTTCGCTGAAGGGCAGGAAATGATCATGGGGACAGGATGAAGGAAATCTTAACTCTGGAATCTTGAGCCCAGTTCCATGGTTTCCTACTCTGGCTTGGCTTGGTTCCCCACTACTGAGTGGTCCCTGTTTGCTGTCCCATCACTGCACCTGCCAGTCTTCGGTGTAGCCAGTTGTAGCAGATGATCAAGGCAACCAGGGGTCCAAGAACCGGCACGATTACAAAGAGTGTTATCTTCCAGCAAGGAACTCTCAGGAAGTGGGGATCTGAATTAGTCACCAGAACAAACAGTGGTTAATGTGTTTCCCTTTGCTCCACTCACCCTTCTCCCTACTAGATTTCTTAACCTGAAGTCCCAGGCCAGCTAGGGATGGACTTGAAAAAAGCAGCACATTTTTATTTTCACCAACCTTATGTAGGCTTAGTGTTTTATGTGTGTGTGAGTGTGAGTGAGTGTGTGTGTGTGTGTGTGTGTGTGTGTGTGTGTGTGTGTGTGTGTGTGTGGCATGAGTCATGGATTTTATTAAAAACAAACAAAAAAAACTGGCACTAGTGGCTCATGTCTGTAATCCTAGCTACTCAAGAGTCTGTAATCCTAGCTACTCAAGAGGCTTACATCTGGTTGATTGTGGTTTGAAGCTAGCCTGGGCAGAAAAATCTGAGACCTATTTCCAACTACCACCAAAAAGCTGTAAGTGGAGCTGTGGCTTAAATGGTAGAGCACCAGCCTTGGGCAAAAAAGCCCAAGGACAGTGCCCAGGTCCCAAGTTCAAATCCCAGGAATCACACAAAGTAGTATAGAAATATTTACTGTTATTTTACCAATCTTACATGCAAATGATGGCTTACTCAAAGAAAAAAGGAAAGCACCTACCAGGAGCCAGGGAACTTTGTTTCCCCAGATGACTGGAGCCCAAGTGAAATACTTGCACTTACCAAAAGTCCGATGAAGATTCTCTGAAAGAGGAACAATGGGAAATGAATTTACTGGAGTCCTATCTCTTGGGTCTTTGTTAGTTTTATTTTTTTTTGTCTTTTCTTTTTTTGTACTGGGGATCGAACCCAGGACGTTGCACTTGCTAGGCAAGCGCTTTGCCACTGAGCTACATCCCAGCCCTCTTTGTTAGTTTTAAATTGGACTAATTCTTGTCCTGACAGGATAGACTGAGCTATAGGATTTGATTTCACCCGAGACTGAAGACAAGGGAAGCATAGTAGATTGTTGACAATTTTTTTTTTTTGGTCAGTCGTAGGGCTTGAACTCTGGGCCTGGGCACTGTCCCTCAGCTCTTCAGCTGAAGGCTAGCACTCTTATCACTTGAACCTCAGCCCCACTTCCGGCTTTTTCTGCTTATGTGGTACTGAGGAATCAAACCCAGGGTCTCATGCTTGCAAGGCAAGCATTCTACCACTGAACCACCTTCCCAGCCTGTTGACAATTCTTGACTGGTTAGTTCTTGTTTGTTTTGCCGCATGCATTAGTTGTATAAGGGGTTGCTCATTGTGTCTGTTAGGAAAGATCAAGTGGATGGAAGGCTAAAATCTGATCTGATCTGTTGAGAGCTCTGGCTTCTTCCCTTTTGTTTGCCTGATCTTTCCTAACAGTGACATTTCTTCACATGGATACAGGGCATCTCAATGGACCCTCTATCGCTGGTTAGTTTTAAAAAGTGAATTTTCCAACTGAAGGAAGCATGGTATTAGAAGAGACAGAAAATGACATATCATGCCAAAAGATCAAACGGGGCCCTGGGGGGGGGGGGGGAGGGGGCACTCACCTATTTCTGCTCGAAGTTTTCCTAAAATAGAAAAAGTCAGTTGTCCATTTAGTTCATTCTCTGATGTGATATGGAAGCCCTTCCACACTCAGCACCCTGGGGGGTAGGAGGCTACTTCTCTGAGCCTGGGAGCATCCTTAGGCGAAGGGGAAGAACATTGAAACCAGGAGGAGTTGTCTCTTCCCTGGCTATTACCTGGATCAAGTAATAATGCAAGAGCCATCTTTCACACCCAGGCTCAGTAATCAGCAGTGCTTCAAAACGTCAGGTTTTATTATCTCCCTTACTGTTGCTCCTCCTAGTTCTGTTTATGTTGGCTGCTCCACCCTCCTGGGCTGTCACTGTGACTCTAAAGCTATTCCCAATCTGAATGGCAAGGAAGGAACTAGACTATTAGTGGGCCTCTACTTTGTGGCTGGCTCTTCCCTGAGTGCTTTCCATGTTATCCTCTTTAATTCTCCCTGCAATTTAGGAGGGAGAACGTCATCTCAACTTGACACACCAGGCAACTGTCTGCTCTTGGAGAACCTGAGAGTTTTGCTCACAGTTCAGTGTCTAGGATGGAATCCAATCATTTTTCTGCACAGCCATGATGGTGAAGACTTTTTATTCATGTGGTTAAACCAGACATCTGGGATAAGTTAAGGCAAGAGGAAAAGTTTCCACTGTTGGGCTGGTGTGTATCAATGTAGAACCCTGTTTAGCCTGCCCAAGGCCCTGGGTTCCATTCCCAGTGCCACCAAAAAAAAAAAGTCCTTGTTGATCCAGCCCCAAACCCTCCTTGGTGCTTTATTAATGAATTAAATATCAGGTTGGACACTTAGTGAGTTGGCTCTGGGGAGAATAGTGAGTTGTTGGAGGAGGCTCAGGAAGGAAGCTCTGGACACGACAGCTTCGTCCACAGCTGAACTTGAGTGCTCAGTGTTGAATGGAAAAGATGGAGGAAGCAGCTTAAAAACACTGTGACAGCACTTTCCCCTCAGAATCTTTATTTAAGACTGCTATTAGCTTAGATCCAGCCTGACTCACACTCTCCCAGGTGCATGAGCTGCTAAGTATGGTACAGAATGAGCCTGAGCTCTGCCTCTTACAGCCTGCCAGTTCAAGTAAATCACTCCTGGCCTCAGTGGCTTCTGTACAAGGCAGCTGTTTGTAGACTTAACCTCCTGGGGAACTAGAGTCCTGCTATCCACATGAAAGCAATCAGTAAGACGTAATTGAGCCAGTGGCTCACACCTGTAATCCTAGCTACTCAGGAGGCTGAGATCTGAGGATCACAGTTCAAAGCCAGCCTGGGCAGGAAAGTCTGTAAGACTTATTTCCAATTAATCACCAGAAAACTGTGGCTCAAGTGGTAGATTGCCCACCTTGAGCTGAAGAGCTAAGGGATAGTGCCCAGGCCCACCAGCCCCACCACCGGAAACACAGACACACACACAGATCTAATTGAGTCCTGGACTCAAAGGTCTCAAAAAAGCTGGGAGCCCATGGTTCACACCTGTAGTCCTAGCAACGCTGGAGGCTGCTGGTATCTGAGGATTGCTGTTTGAAGCCAACTTGGACAGGAAGACCCCTGAGACTTCTCTCTAATTAAACACACACACATGCTAGAAATGGAGCTGGGTGAGCACAAGTAGGTGAGCAAGGAAAGCCCAGGGACAATGACAGGCCCTCCCTGAGTTCAAGCCCCAGACTGGCAATACCCACACAAAGTTAAGTGCTCTGTCTCAGGATCAGGGAAGGCTCTTGGTGGGCCTAGCTTCAGAGTAGCATACCTCTCAGTCTGTGCTGCAGGTAGAGGAAGAGGAGGCCCACTGCAGTCTGCAGGAGGAGCACAGGCAGCACTGCAATGAGAACCAGCACTCCAGGGTTGATCCAGTAGAAGGGATCTGAAAGGCAGAATTGACTTTGCACAGCCTGCTTTCCCAACACACAACACAGTGCTTTGCATATCACCTATGCACATCTTCTCATATACTTTTTTTTGGCACTGCTGGGGAGGATAGAATCTAGAGCTGCAGCATGCTACATATATACTCTACCACCCAGCTATACTCAAGCCCACTCCTATATACTTTAAATTGTCTCTGAATTATTTATAATACTAAAAACAATGTAAGTGTCATGCTGTGTTGTTTAGGAAATAATGTCAAAGAAAAGTATACAAAGAAAAATACATGTTCAGTTTTTTCGTTGTTGATCCTAGGCTGAATATTTTTCCTATTACTGATTCTATATCCATTTGGAAGGCTGAACTTACATATACAGGAGTATTTCCCTCTCTCCTTGTCTCCTCCCTCTCTTTTTCCTTCCTCTCCTTTTTCTTTTTTGCACACTTCTTATACTTTCATGAAAGATTAGAATCATATAAAAAATGAACAAAAAGGCTGGGCGCTGGTGGCTCACGCCTGTAATTCTAGTTACTCAAGAGGTTGTGATCTGAGGATTGCGGTTCAAAGCCAGCCCTGGCAGCAAAGTCTGTGAGACTCCAATTAACCACAGAAAATTGGAAGTGGTGCTGTAGCTCAAGTGGTAGAGTGCTCTCCTTGAGCTGAAGAGCTGAGGGACAGTGCCCAGACCCCAAAGTTCAAGCCCTACGACCAGCACCAACAAAAACATCCAAATATTAGAATACTTTGACACCTTGAGTAGAGATTGTGCATTTGATGATTGCATATAGACTCTTAGAGATGTGGTCATAATTGTGCTTCCTTTTGTATGTGTGTTCTTATGTTTGATATATTCTCAAGCATTTAGCAATAAATAATGCTTCTCAGTGTTTGCCTTAGCAACTCAGGCTGGCTTGATACATTCTTTGTATGTATGAGAACAAATTGCATATGTGTGTGAATGTGTGTAGCCCAGGCTGGCCTTAAACTTGCCATCCTCCTGCCTTTAGCCTACAGTGCTGCTGGAATTCCAGTGACCATGCCATCACATATAGTCATTCATGGGGCCTGAACTCTGGGTCTGGGCGCTGTCCCTCAGCTCTTCAGCTGAAGGCTAGCACTCTACCACTTGAGCCACAGTGCCACTTTCAGCTTTTTCTGCTTCTATGGTGCTGAGGAATTGAACCCAGGGCCTCATGCATGCACTGTACCACTGATCCACCTTCCCAACCCCTAACTTGCATATATTTTTAAGGGGGGAGGAGAGAGAGAAAAAAGGAGAAGGAGAGAGAGGGAGGGAGGCAGGGGAGGAGGGAGGGAGAGGGAGAGAAATTGGAAACCTTTTAGAGAAAGATGGAAAGAAACTTGCAAAAAAATATCCTTCTGGCTCCCTAGAGCTTGGAAAGTGGAAATAAAATCAAAAGAGAAACTTTTTCCCCTGGAGGCAAAGGAAAAGGATTTAGTTTCAGATCTTCTTTTCTCCTTATATTCCTCTTCCTCTCTCCTTCTCTCTCCTCCCTTTTGTTTGTTGTGGCGGTATATTGGGGGAGGCCTTCTTGAAGTAAGAATTTTTAAGCAAGAACTAGGAAAATCATCTGTAAACTGAGATCCTCCCCATCTGACTTCTTTGTGGGTAAAAAATCTCCAGTAAAAACAGCTGCCTGAAGAACATTTTGTGACACACAGAGCTATTTTCATGTCCCGGCAATCTCCATCTCTAGAAATAGCGCTTTGTTATTCAGCATACAATGCCATCTTCTGGTCCCACACTGCAGCAGTCTCCCCCAACCCCAGAGACAAGAGTGTCAGATTGTTTGATGTTTGCCCTGCAGGTGGGGAGGGGGCAGGGGAAAGGCTCTGAGGCACAGGCTCTTTGGGTTCTTCCGTAGGCTCTCTGTGAACAGTTACTGGTTCTTCCGTGAACTAGCAATTAACTTCCAAAGTTTTCCTATCTACTTGCCCACTTTTTCCTGTGATTAAGAAAGTAAACTCCCAAATCATCCAGCACATAAAGGGAAAAGGGAGTTGTAGAGAATTGAAGGGATGAAGGTAAAAATCTACACAGGACAGTTCTTTCTTTTTGTAAGTCCCTACTTGTTCATTCACATGGACTCAGTTTTACCAAGAATATAGTTTGTGTGTGTGTGTGTGTGTGTGTGCGTGCACGTACGTGCGTGCATGCTAGTGTGAGGACTTGAACTCAGGGCCTGGGCACTGTCCCTGAGCTTTTTGGCTCAAGGCTAGCTGGTATTCTAGCACTTAAGCCACACTTTCACTTCTGGCTTTTTGCTGGTTAGTTGGAGATAAGAGTCTCAAGGACTTTCCTGTCTGGGCTGGCTTTGAACCTTGATCCTCAGATCTCAGCCTCCTGAGTTGCTAGGATTATAGGCATGAGCCACCAGTTCCTTGCTTAAACAAAACAATTTTTTAAATGTGTACACAACATTCACAGTACAGATACCCTCAATTACTTAGTCACTTTTCTGTTCCTGGGCACTGGCTTTGATTCCAGTTTCTTTCCCTACCCAAACAATGATGCACCAGATACTGAATATGGAAGTTCCTGTTTACTAATATCTTTCTACAAAACTGAACCTCAGTAGTGAGATGTGTGGGTTGAAGGAGCTCAATTGGAAGAATGACAAGTCTCAAGGGAAATCATGACCACCCCAACAAATAATATCTCCTATTAATTTTATGGCATGACTCACCTTCCACTTTTAATTCCATGGCTGCCTCCTCTTGGTAAGAATGATCTCGGAAGAAGCAGGTGAATCCTCCTTCATCTGCGAACCTCACATTCCGGATCCTGAGGGTCACCTTGCCCTCTCCAATAGACTCCTTCAGCAGCTCTGTTCGGCCTCGATATTCAGGTGCCTGTTCTGCATCTTGGTCCTTGCCATTTCGGTAGAGGTGAACCACCCTAGAGAAGGGGGGACGGTACCACCCCACCTCCATACCCGAAGCATTCTTTCCAGGAGATATGCGACATGGCAATTCCGCTTCATCCCCAACCAGAGCTCGGATGATGTGCCCGGGCCCTATCACTCTGAACTGTCCTGTCCAAAAGACCAAAGAGAAGAAACCGAGGTTCAGAGGGAGCCTTCACAGACACATGCATCATGGGCAGGGCTACTTCAAAATAGGGAAGGAGGAGGCTGCCTATTTGTTTAGTTATAGGACTAGTGTTTGACCTCAGGGCCTTATGCTTGCTAAGCTCTGCTCTACCACTCCAATTCCCCACCATCCTGATTTCACATTGTGTGTGTATGTGTGTTTGTGTGTGTGGTCCTAGGGCTTGAACTCCAGGCCTATGCTCTGTCTCTAAGCTTCTTTTTGTACAAGGCTAGTGCTCTACCCCTTGAGCCACAGCTCTACTTCTGTGTGTGTGTGAGTGTGTGTGTGTGTGTTGTTTTGCTTTTAGTAGTTTATTAGGGATGGACTTTCCTTAATCCTTGGATCTTAGCCTCCTGAGTAGCTAGGATTACAGGTGTCAGCCACTAGCACCAGCTTGATTATTTTTGCAATCTGATCTCACTTGTACCTGGAGCAGCCTGGACAGCAATCCTATTTGTGACTCCCTTTGCTGCTGGTAGAAAAGGCGCATGCACTGCCCGACACTAATTGAGATGGAGTTTCCTGAACGTTTATGTCCAGTCTGGCTTCAAACTACAATCCTTCAATTCCTACCAAATAGCTACTAGGATTATAGTCTTGAGCTACAACACCTGTCTCTAAGTTTTATATTGTTTTCTAATTCCTAATTTTATAAATTACCCTTGACTAGTTGTATAAAGGGGTTTTTAAATTTAATTTAATTTTTTTTGTGAACATACTGTACAGAGGGGTTACAATTACATGGGCAGTATAAAGGGGTTTTAATTCAACCCGTCAGTTGGTGAGTACAATGCATCTTGACCAATCCCTTTCACCACTTTCCCCCATCTCTCTCAATCCCACCCATCTCTTTAATTTACCTAGTTCAATTTTTCACCTAGAAACATTATGACCATATTTGTCCACCCTCTTCCTCTCTTCATTTGACCTTCACATGGCCTTGCCTCCCACAACACATGTCCATCCCCCCCCCCCCTTGAGCATATACTAAAGCCCACCTTCCTGCCAGCTGTAGTCCTCTCTGGTCTTCAAGTCCAGCCCTCAGGTCCCACCTCAGAAGGTGGGCACCACCTTGAAGTTTAATTCACTCCTGAGCCTCCCTATTTGGCCTTGCCTTAAACGAATTCCTATGTTCCCCTTAGAAGTTTAGAGGTTTTGCTTTTGGTCACTCCATCCTCTTTAACTGCTACTTCCCAGCCCTTCATCCTTATTCATATTTTGTTCCTCAAAATTCATTGCTGAGGTAGTTAACCTTTGGAGAATCTGTGGGACATTCTTTACCCTCTGTATGTTCAACTTCACTCCAGCTCTAGGCCCTCTTTTGAGCATCTTCTGGCTCTTTATCCTGTGCAGGATGAGTTTCCCAAGTGAGATTGTGCTACTAAGAGATAAGGCTGGTTTCTCCCTGAGAGCTGGAAAGTGTTTGTTCCCCTGTCAGTGGGTGGCTCCCTGTGCTGGAGAGTCCTACTCTCCTTTATTGGTGATTGCTCTGCAGAGCCAATCACTCAAATATAATAAGATATTATAACATTTGTTGATTTACTGCAAACGTCAGTTTTTAAGCATGTCATATATCTCAGCTCATTTAAACCTGCCAGCAATTCCAACAGATCATTATTTGAGAAGTAAAAACCCCAACCAGAGCTAAACATCCAGCTCCATGGTGGAGCATGTACTTAACTTGCATGAGGCTGTGGATTGGATTGCAAGAACCACAGAACCACAAGTTTGGATTCTATTCTGTAAGGACCCATGAAGATTCTGAGGGGGGGGGAGGAGAACTCATATCACAAGATGTGTTTTAGAAAAGTCAGTCATATAGTATTTGAAGAGGATTGAAAAGGGTTAGCTCAGGAAATCTTGCTTTTCTGTTGTTAGATCTTGGCAGAGCAGGAATAAACACATCTTACCTGCACCGCTAGAAGGCAGCTGGAGAAGGAGGACAAGGAGGCAGGTAGATAGAGAGGATCTCCATAAAAGGGCCATCTCCACTATTAGTGGGGACAGAGTCCCCGTGGTAGGGTCAGGCCAAGCAGAGGCCCTGGCCTTGCATGTCCCCTACCCCTGAGAAGCCCCAGGGAGGATCTGGGAGGGCCTGCTGCCTGGGCCCTGCCTCCACCCTGGGCACTGCTGCAGCTGTGTCCATAGGCATAGTCCCACGTCACCCTTGCCCGACAGTTACACAAAAGGACTACAGACCCAAGGAATGACCGGGGTTTGCCTCTCCCACCCCCTCAGAGCAATGGAGCAGTGGCTGCCTGGTACTGGGCATTTCTCCATTTTCCCCTCCCAGAAATCCAGTCTCAGAGAGGGTATCTAGGGGCTGACCAGTGGGGATCCATCAGCTACTGGACCTCAGAAAAGGCCAATGTTTGTATAAAGTTCCTTCTCACCTTCAGGAACTAGCCAAGAAGAGCAATTATTGTTAGCTGAGAGATTATTTTAGCCTTGGCTTTGTATTTCTTGTCTTAACTGTCATTGTCAGGCTTTCATCTAGATGTTAAACTTCCTCTCTTCCATTGTAAATCCAAACTTCCTAGCTCAGATATGGGACAGGTCACTTAGCCTTAGTCAGCTTCCCTCCCAAAAAATGCGTTTAGGAGAGTCATAAGAAAGACATCACAGTTGATGGTCATCTATTCTCAGAAAGGCAAATGGAAGACGAGAATCAGCTATCAGTCATCACAGGGTTAGGGGACAGAGCTAGCAGGCGGGACATTTTGGCATTGTTCTCTGATTTTGTTGGTGTCATAGAGGAATGTGAGAGGAAAGTAAAGATTTGACCTTTTCTTTATCTAGACTCAGTGGAAAACTACATAGATGAGAACAGTATCTGCCCAAGTTCTGAGTTCCAATCCTCCCAGCTTTCAATCTTGGGATTGAGCCTAGGACGTTTAAAATGCTTGGCAAGTGCTCTAGCACAACATTTTTAGCCCTATTTCCATTTTGTTTTCCTGTGCTGAGGTTTTGAATTCAAGGCCTACTCACCTTCTGAGCAGGTCCTTGGCCATACCTCCAGCTGTTTTACATAAGAGCCACACCTCTAGCTGTTTTACATCACACCAAGTTATTGGTTGAGACTGTGTCTTGGGAACTTTTTGCCTAGATTGAGTTTGAATTGTAATTTTCCTGATCTCAACCTCCCAAGTAACTAGGATACAGTCATGAGCCACTATACTTGATTCCAATCTGAAAGCAAAGATGCTTTGTCAAACCAAACAAGACAAAAGTAGCATTATGGCTAGGTGCCAGTGTGGCTCACACATGTATGCCTAGCTACTCAGGGGGCTGAGATTTAAGGATTGTAGTTTGAAGCCAGCCTGGGCAAGAAAGTCTGTGAGACTCTTACCTCCAATTAACTACTAAAAAGATGGAAGTCGTGGAGTGATAGAGCATTAGCTTTGAGTAAAAAAAGCCCAAGCACAGCACTTGAGATCTGAGTTCAAGTCTCAGAACACACACACACACACACACACACACACACACACACACACACACACAGAGCATTGAGGACAACTTAAAGTCAAGCTGTCCACAATATGTTAATCACTAGCCACTAGTGGCCATGGAAACTAATAAAAAATTATTAAGATTCAACAGCCAGGTGCTGGTGGCTCATGCCTATAATCCTAGCTACTCAGGAGGCTGAGATCTGAGGATGGTGTTTCAAAACCAGTCCAGACAGGAAAGTCTGTGAAACTCTTATCTCCAATTTACCACCAGAAAACTGGAAATGATGCTGTGGCTCAAAGTGATAGGTCTCAGAGTTCAAGCCACATGACTAACAAAACAAAACAAAGCTTTGATCCATTGATTGCATTATGTTTCGCAACATTCTCAGAGCACTATAACTACCAGCTACAATGCTGGACACAAATCTAGACTATTTTTGTAATCACAAAAAATGATGGGAAATAAGAGGTAGAAATGTGTCTGGGGCAGACATTTCTGCTTTTGTTTGAGACAGGTATAAGTGGCTAGAGGGACAGATTTTAGCTAGCAGTTACTTTCTTATTCCAAAGCAGCTGGAATTCGGGTACAAAGCAGAGTTTGACTACTCTGGAGTGGTGAGGGTGAAAGTCAAGGTCTGCATCCTGGCTTCCTCTCATGTGGACATTTCTCTCCTTCCAGAATGGAAACTATCTTTGGGTGTTCTTCTTCCATGTGGCAGGATGCTTGGCATTGCTCAGCTGAGCAGGCCAGCTGTGAAAAGCTCAAGGGAGATGAGAGTCATGGAGTTTCCTGCCCTGGCTTTGAACCAGGATCCTCACATCTCAACATCCTGAGTAGAAAAAAAAAAGATTCTTACAAAATAAGACTATATCTTGAAAATCTTGCGACCTTCCAAAGTCAATCTATATTTTTCTTTGAATATATAGTACATATACTTGTAATATGTCACTAGAGGGAGCTCCAGGAGACATTGCATGAAAGAACTTTTTAAAAGAGAACTTTTAACTCTTCTGCACCAGGAACAAAATAGCGTTCTACCAGAGATTTAAATTTATTTTTTTTAATTCTTAATTTTTAAAATTTTCCTTTTTTTGTGTTTTCTCTTATTATTTTGAAATTCACCGGTAATTTTTATCTTTTAAAGAGAAACATGTCAGCCTGATGAATCAGGTGAAACTAATTTCTTTTTTTTTCTTTTGTCAGTCGTGGGGCTTGAACTCTGGGCCTGGGCATTGTCGTTGAGCTCTTCAGTTCAAGGTTAGCACTCTACCACTTGAGCCACAGTGCCACTTCGGGCTTTCTAGTGGTTTATTCGAGATAAGAGTTTCACGTACTTTCCTGCCCGAGCTGGCTTTGAACCGTGATCCTCAGGTCTTAGCTTCCTATGTAGCTAGGATTACAGGCATGAGCCACGGGTGCCTGGCTTGAAACTAATTTCTTAGGCTTGCTTTCCATCGTCTCTCTCAGAAATGGGAATGGATTTGTGCCGATTTTAACCTAACTGCCATGCTGTCCTGTGGGAGAGTGGCTGCCCTGTGGCTGTCCTGAAGAAGAGGTGGGTGTGAGACCACAGAGCCAGGATTCATCTCCATACAAAGAACACTACCTCCTTCAGAGCTGTCCAGACACGGCGGGACTGCAGGCATGAGCTTCCCATCCCAGCAGGTGCATGCCAGCATAGAAGGGAAGTTAGACTAGAATACCGTATGGCCTTTCCCTTCCTCATCTTTCCCCCATACCCCTTGCCTCCTTTCCAGGGACGAGTGCCCACTTCATTTCCTTGAGACTCCCCCCGCCCCCCGCCATGCTTCTAGTCTGCCCGGCAACCGATGACGTCATCAGCTTCACCGTGGAGAATTGGTTCCTAGGAGCCGCAGGGGTGGGGCGATAGCGGAGAACAAGGTAACGTTGACAAACTGGCCAAAGAGGCTCATTGACACCCAGACGCTGCTGGCAAAGCTTTTCACGCGGTGGCTGCTGCTTCCGGCCCCTGCTCTTCTTGGTTCCTGCTTTCCCTCCACAGTCGGCTTCATTGTTAATTTAGCTTGACCCAGGAAGTCTGGATCCTGTAATGTTGCTTAGCCAATAGCTCATGGGAAGACAGACCCTGGTGGCCAATGACACCTGGCCCGTGGAGGGAGGCGGGGAACCCCTGGTGATGGCCCTTCTGTCACTATGCAGATGCCCCACGCCAGGAAAAAGCCGTGGTGGCCATTTTGAAGGTGGGAAATTATTATTTCTTGGACCCCCCCCCCCCCCCCCCACTGCCTTCCCTGCCCTACCTTTGCTACAGCTCTCCAGACCATTTGTTTTCTTGGCAGCAAAAACTGCGTAGAGGGATAATTATGTTGTCTGGAATTTCTAGACTTAAGGCTCATAGTATCCTTAAAAAAAAAAAAATGTGCTGGTACTGGGGCTTGAACTTGGGGCCTGAGTGCTGCCCCTTAGCCTTTTACTTTTTTGTTGGTGGTGGTGATGGTGGTAGTTGTGAGGCTTGAACTCAGGGCCTGGGTGCTGTCCCTGAGCTCTTTTGCTCAAGGCTAATGCTCTACACTTTGAGCCACAGTTCCATTTCCAGTTTTTCAGTGGTGGGTTGGAGAAAAGTTTTGTGGGAACTAGCCAGAGCTGTCTTCAAACTGAGATCCTTAGATCTCAACCTCCTGAGTAGGCATGAGCCACTGGTGCCCCACACTTTTTTTGCTTAAGACTGGCACTGTACAACTTGAGCCACATATCTGGCTTTTTTAGTGGTTAATTACACATAAAAGTCTCATGTAATTTTCCTTCCTGGACAGGCTTTGAACCTGGATTCTCAGATCTCAGCCTCCTCAGGAACTAGGATTACATATGTGAGCCACTGGTGCCCAGCTCAAATTCTAGCTTTCTGGTGGTTATTTAGTTTCCTGTGGGCCTGGCTTTGAATGAACTGCAATCCTCAGAGTAGCTAGGATTAAAGCTCGAGCCACTGGACAAGGTTCATAATACTTGTATTCCAACAGGGAGCATTTAACAGCTTCACCTGTAATAGGATATATACTAGAAATGGGGATGAATGAAGCCAGTTTTAGACCCCAGTCCCAAACTCTAGGAGTTCCACCTAAAAAGTTATGGTGAAGGGCACACCATAGGAAGACAGCACTGGAGTACATCTTCAGCCATCATCAGGGTACAGATGAGATGTAGGCCAAGGAAGCGAGGTATGCATAAAGATTATGCAGTCACATCACAGGTGTGGCTTGGTAGACTATTATCTCAGTCTCCTTCTCCCAAGTGGCTCTGGAGAAGTTGAGGGAGGGAGTAAGTCACTGAGGCTTGGCAGCAAGTTTATCCTGAACTTTCAGTTGTTCTCTTTCTTTAGGGCAGTTTTACATTTTGTCATAAGAAGTCATTGCCGATCTGAGGAAGTTTGCATTTTGGCACAAGATCCTGTCCTTTCTGGAGCTCAAGGAGATTATAAAGAGACTGTGGAGGGAAAGGTTCAGATCAAAGGACCTAGACACAAAGTCTAGTTTTTAATCCTGCTCTCTTAATTG